TTATCAGAAACTTGTAATTTAAAACCTTGCAATTTCAACTGCCTTTCTATCATGCTGGAAGGGGAGGGAAAAAACAGAATATTTCTCATTCAGTTAAAAAAAATCAGTAACCAGTATCCTACTGCTACTGTCAGGTAGAGAGCAAAATCAACTGCTGAGCAGTTAAATTAACATTTATATACAATGGATTTGCTCTAAGTTGGGACTAACAACTGGCCAGTATTTATAAAAAGATAGCAGATCTTTCATAACAAGGAACCCAAAATACAGGATTGGGCATTACCTTGCAGTTAGCTCTTTATTAATGAAATTCATTGTTCAAATTATGCAATCATTCAGCAACCTTTCAGCAACATAGGAAAAACCAAAAGCAACAGATTTTTCTCATTTCCAGCATCAGCAAGAGGAACACTCAGCTCCTTTAAGGTGACACCTACCACTTTAATTCAGGGCATAGTCTGGCAATATGTATAATGTGATCACCCATAACCCTTGACATGTCTCTTTCCAAGACACAGTTAAAAGTTCTGATTTCACAATAAAAGGCTTTTTGTCCTGAAGGAAACTTTGTCTAAAAAACAAAAGCCATCATGTACTTCTTACACATTATAAAGTGTTAACTTTCACTTTGCAAAAAATTTAACACAATGAAAGAACAATGCAACTGTCCAGATAAGACAAGCCATTTCTAGTTGTTTTGTCCCAAAATACTACATGCAATAAATCCCAGAAAATCCGTATGAGAATGGCTTTTCAGGATTTGTGTCAAACTCTACACATTTGCAGGGGTTACATCTAGACTTCAGCCATTTCTAGAACAAACTGGTAAAAATCAACGAGACAAGTAATCCATGACTAACATAAGACCTAGAAATGCCTGTCTACTGAGGATATATTCCAAGCATCCGAAGAAGCAGACTACAGCCCATGAAAACTAAACCTTTGAGGAAACGAACTAAAACCAGTGGAGCTTATCCAGTAAAACGTCACCTGATGTCTTCTGACATCTTGTTCTGACCATTTAGCTTTATTTTGTCACAATTAGCTTTATTTTGTTGAATAAGCCCCTCTGGTTTCAGTGAGTCTCTTTGAATAACGAGTCTGCACCCAACTCAATTACTTTAAATAGTACTGAAACTCAATTTTATAATTTTCTCTCAGATTAGGGCTGATCAATATATCCATATTATTATTAATTACACTTTTTATTATTACGTTTTCGCACAACTTTCCTATAAAAATAGCATTGTGCTTTCAGTGCTATAAAAATAATATCATCAAGAACAACTAAACAACATTATTATTGTCACTGAAACCAAATTCAATAATAAAACTATTATAATTAGTACTCAATATACATCAAACTATTATTACTCTTATTATCAGACTATATGCCACTTTGCAGATTGGTGGCCAGAATCCTATAGGTTATTTATGCTGGCATTGACTGCAATGGCATAAACTGCAGTGGTGTATTGCTGTTAGTTAATGAACCATCATTTGTATTCCCTATCATGTACCGTCCATTTAATCTGGCATGCAACATGAAATACAAGTAGTGACTTATTAACTAGCAGGGATTTGCCATTGAAATGTATGCCACTTCAGTTATACCAGTGTGAATAGCCAATAGGATTCTGGCTATCCTCAGGAAAAACAAAATTAATGCCATCAAAGAGATATATTCTATACAAAAATAGGTATGTTGTGGGAATAAAGCTAAGGCCAGAGGCAAAGGCAACAACATTAAATTATCTAAAAAGATATTGAAAAGAAGAGGGTCCATAATAAGGCATTTCAATCCCCTTATACTTACTTGAAAATACATTTTAATAAAAACTGAAATCTAAAAAATCCAGAAATGATAACAGGCTCACACCTATTTGATCTCTTTTCAATATCTACATTTTCTGGTTTTCAACACTGTATTTTAAAAGTTAAATAAAGCAGCAGTCATAAGTTACCTGCTGTGTTTTTCATGGCAGAAGATACACATAAGCTAGTCACATTTAGAAAAGGGATTACTTACAGAACTGTCTTTCACTAGAAGAGCACAACATTGTATTCCCGCCATTAGCATCTTATGAGGATTCCACGCCACAGAATTTGCCCTACATAAGTGATGTATAGAGGAAAACAGATTTTCATTCATATGTAATTGGAGTGTTCCACATTTAATACCCACGTAATAAACTTGACTGGTGGGATGGGATTGGAGGAATCATGTCTGAAGCAGCCAGATACTCAAGATTTCCTATCCCCAACTAGACCTTTCTTTATTTTTTAAATAAATATACTTCAATTAATAACAAGAATCATGACAGGAATGCACATCCTAAACAGCAACACAACCTAACTGAAGTTATCCAATTTAAGGGTTGCTGGCTTAGCTTAGAAAGTGTTGCTGCTGTCTTGGAAATCAACAGGACTTTTAAAGTGCTTACATTTAGTTTTCAAGTGATTAACCCCCCACACACACACTCTTCCCACTCCCCTAAAATTAAATTTGGTACCTGTGGATGCCATGCAGTAGTCTGCGGTGCTTCCTTGACAGCAAAGCTGAGCCTCCCCATGAAGCCTGTGGAGATATTTATTAAAAGCAAGAAAACAGGACTTCAAGCATTGTACAATTTAGTTATTACTCAACAGGTAATTTTAAAAGCTTCAACAGTGCACTTATTGAATTCCCCTGACTGCTGCATCCCCCCTGCAACTTCAAAACAAAATAAAGTACAATGTCTGTGATCCTGAAATAGACCCTTCAGTATGCAAAGGCTCTCTCTTTGCCATCAGTGCCCCTGTGAAAAAACTCATACCACTTGCACAACACAATATATATGCAGACCTTATAGACAGATGATTTAATTGTTTGATATGGCACTGAGGCTGAAATCTTGTTGCTTAGAAGAAACAGTCACAATTAGAATAGGTATACTGAATCAATAGAAGTTACAGAGTAGTTGACTCACCAAATCTCCACCGATTTAATTGATCTATTCTAGTCCTGACTTACTAGACTAAGCACTTAGATTTCAGCCTGTAAGTACTTCCCAGAACTGTACAAGGTGTGCATATATTTAATATGCAAGGGTCTGTTACCCTGAACCTTTGAGCCTAAAATACCTCAGAACTATTTTACAATTACTCTGTCAATGAGAATAAGATAAGCCAGTGATGAGCTCATATAACTGGATCGCTGATTAACTGAAAAAAATGAAGAATATTTCTCTGAATAATTATGAGATTAACTGCAATAATAGAGAGTTGTCAAAATGGATTCTGGGAAATTCATTTTAACATCATTTAACCACCTATATGCAATGAAGCAAAATGAAGCTCTGCAGTTAGCCTCTCTAACTAGCTAGTGATGAAAAGCAGAAAAAGAAAATAACTTTGTTGCATACTGCAAGGTCCCCCACACAGCTAATAAATGTACATGATATAGTATGTAAATGCTGGCATGTCAAGGAATGTTGATAAATTCTATCTACAGAGAAAGAAGCTACTATCAGAAGAATGTTGACAGCGTATGGAATGAAGAATGTGTATGTGTTTTGGGAGGAGGCTGAAAGGTCATGGGGGGGAATTTACTGTGGTTAAAATATTCAACAAAAGAGCTAACAAAGGGCTTTATGATTTAAAGTTTCTTTTTTGGAGCACAGCTCCCACAGCTTTCATTACCACTGCCATATTAGCTCTGGGATTGTGGGAGCTATATTCCAAAAAGTAACTTTTCCCATTTCTTAAAGAACTAGGATAATCAGGAATGTATACAATTAAAGCAAGAGTAGGATAGGATCAGAGGCATGGAACCTGAAAAAAGAAGATAGAGTAAATGAACAGGCTATGGGTACAACTACATGGCATTTGTCCTTCAATCTATTTTACTTTTGTGATTATTCGTTCCTTTACCTAGCAACCACATTATATATGTGCCATTGTGAACCAGTCTGTCATTTGTCAATGACATCTGCATCTTTTTGAGTCCCTGTCAGGGCTACTGGGTTTTTGTTTTTGTTTTGGGTTTTTTGTTTTGTTTTGTTTTGTTTTTGGTATTTGTAAGATGGTTCCATTTTGGTTCAGTTCCAACATATGTGATCACTAGGATCAAACCAAAGTGGATACCTTAAGTTATCCCTTTGCTTAAGCTATTTAACAATCCTGAGAAATCGAAAAGCATCCTCCCTAGACTCCTGTGAAGTAGAAGGGAGAGGAAGGTTTCTATTACTGTATCATTGTTGCTAAAGCATCAGTGATGCTATGAAAGGACTTTTTTTAAATAAAAAAAAGCCCTTTAAATGCATTATGGTTACTCTCAGTTAGCAAAAATTAAAAGAAATGGAAAACATCCTCTCCCTTGCCCTCCATTGGGCAGCAGGAAGAAAGCTTTCAATTTCTCAAGGTTGTTTACCAGCTTAAGCAAATCACAGAGGAGGAGACAGGAGGAGGATTTTATTATTATTATTACTATTATTTTGTTTTTGTTTCCCTTTAATGGGAAAGATTAGATTATACATAACAGAGTCATTTGAGGTCCGTTGTGGTCAACCCTTGTGTGTGTCTACAAGGATCATCCCAAGTGACACTTTGCATTCCAGTGCAAGCTAGTCTGATTCATACTGGGATAACTGGGTTGTCTACTCCCACCCTAAGATTCAACAGGTAGATGAAATACAGTTTAAGAATATAAGGAAAAAAAAAAGGCAATAGATTAATGGAGCTGGGAAGATCTCTGTAGGGATCCTTCAGTCTCGAGAGACTATGGTAGCGTGCTCTGAATACAGGTCTTGAAACAGCATCTAGTGTGGCTGAGAAGGCCAATTCGAGAGTGACAACCCCTTCCACACTGAAGACAAATACAATCTGTCCCCTATCGAGCTCCCTGATTTTGCTGCATCATCAGCAAAGAGGAAGTCCTGCATGCATTCCATCTGGACTTTTTCTTTGCTCTCAATCTGGAGAGATTAAAGAGCTTTCCATCTGATCTAGTCCCTTGAGATAGACACCTTCTGTTGCAGTTCCAAGAGTGTGCTTCAGCATGATAGCAATAGCTGGGAAGAAACCTCATATAATGACAAATGGTGTACTGTTGACAAAAAGTTGTGAAACAAACAAAGAGCTACTGCAGATTAGGAAGCCTAAGATTTGGAGAAGGAGAAACTGTTACGCTAACTGGGAAAATCTGTAGACAAATGGTTAAGTGTAGATTTTAAGAAAAAGACTATGATTAATAGGATATGATGTGTGTTTAGATATTTCCTAAATAATCCAAATTTTTAAAACCACAATGATCATTATCAAAAAGAGATTGTGAATATTTAATTTCCCACTATCTAGATTACTTACACTCTAAAATGTGCACCAAGTGATTGTTCCCAAACATACATGCTTACAAAAGTAAATTTCACTAAGAAATCCCATAGACAATTTACCTTGAGCTAAATGGGTCTTCTGAGCAGACACATCAAGGATTGCACAGTGAATCTGCTATACATACTCTGCTTCCTATGGGTTTGAGTCATAAATAACAGCCTATATTTGGATATCTGAATGTGTCCCCAGCCAGTACAAATCTAACACATTTTTATATAGCACTTCCTTCGGAGGTTTGAAAAGAAGAGAGGAATAAATTATAGTAGAAGTGCCTTTGCAGGTATGTATGGATCCCAAATACCTGCAAGCCATTTTCCATATACTAAAATGAATGCAAAGATTATCAAAAGCAATGTGGTAAAGAAATCATGAATTGAGCTTTTTTATTCTACTAATAATCAGATAATATCCCAATGACAACCACATCAGTAGCCAACATGAAACAAAACACAAGGGAAGCAATTTAATCTTTCTTTCTGCAAATTATTTACTCAGAGGAAACAAAGAATCTTACAAAAGAACTATTGCCAACAATCAACAAAACACAGCATTCCAAAAGAAGAAACTCACAGTGAGCAGACTGACATATTATCTCTAACAAACTATCTATTAAAAAGGCAAAAAGAAAAATAGCAAAAATTATCAAATACAACCAAACCAAATACTCAAAAGACCCACTTTATGTTAATCCTCCTTTGTTTTATTTTCAAACACAGTTTCACTGAAAATGTACAAGAATATTACTCAGGCAATTAAAAATTATTCACTCACTCATCTGTCATATTTTAACTCAACGTTAAACAAACAAACTATGCTAAATCCACAGAGAAAAACAAGAGAATTATTGAAAAATATTTCCATCGGCATAGCAACAGACATTCAGAAATATAAGTAACTCAATGCTCACTAAATACAGTACTAGGATAATAAATACTTAACTACCACAATACCACACTAAGATCAGTACTACAGTGCCAACAGGACGTCACGTATCCTGTTTTGGATGGTATTTAATTTTTATCACCAGGACTGTTCACACTAGAAGATCAAGAATACTCTTTAAGATTTGGTATTATTCCTTACTCTTCTCATAAATGGCAAAAACTGAATGAAGACTGATTAAACTGAAAACTATAGTGATTTTATTACAGGGTGTTACTCAACCCTCTAAAAGGAGTTGAGTAAGATTAATCCTGGGGTACCCAATGTGGTGTAGTGTATAGGGTGAGAGACCAGGACTCTGGAGACCAGAGTTTGAATCCCTATTCAGCCATCAGAAATGCACTGGGGGTGTGGAACTGGTAAAACTGCTACTTAAATATCTCACCTTGAAAGCCCTATTAGGGTCACAATAAGTAGGTTCCGACTTGATGACACACAACTAGCTAAAAGATTAATCCTAAAATCATCTCCCACCATCTTCCTGGAAGGTCAACAGGTGGGAAAAGTGTAGCAAGGGGAAAACATGTCCCACCCTCAGAAGAGGCAAGTAACTCTTTCTGAACTTGGCAGGTAGAACAGAGCAATATGAAAATATGCATGCTGCTAAATCTGAATTTGCAAACAGTATCCAGCACAGAAACCTAGCAAACTGCTGGAAGATGAACAAACATCCCTCTGCAATTCCACTAGCCACCCAGAATATTTCCAAAGTAAACTAGAGAGAAAACCAAGAATAATTTTCATCACTCAGTACACCCTGAGCAGGAACACGTCAGTTTTCTGCTTGCTCAAATGGAAATGGATATATTAATGAATTAATGCATTGACAGATGGAAATGCGCATACATCTTATGGAGAATGGATACATATAGATGGATGGTTATGGATGGGAATATGTTGGCAAGAATGGGTGCATGTGTCTGGATGAACAGATAGATGGATGAATGTGAATTGGGGTGTAAAAGGATAATTTTGAAGGACAGATGAGTGTGAACAGGTGGCAAATCTTGCAGGATGGCTCTGGATAAGAAAGCAAAACAAATATAAACAAGAAAGTATTGGCACACTTAAAGACTAATCAATTTATTTCAGTGAGATTTTTCATGCATTGCAACCCACTGAGCACAATGGGACACTTACATAGTAGCGGGATGGGGACCAAGTGAGATGGGGAAAAAAGGATGACAATTACATTGGTAGTGAACTTTTAAGGCTGATACTGAAATAAATCTGTTAGTCTTTATTTTTGTTTTATTTTTGAAACATCATGTTGAAACAGACTAACACTAACCTTTTTGAAAACTGTGTATCAGAGAAAAAGTAGAGATCGGGAGTGAATTTAAGATCCTTATCACCCCACAATCTTTTTCACACACTCTGTCAAAACTTTTAAGTTAGAGATAAAGAGGGATAGTGATGTTCTTAAGAGAAAGACAGAGGGACAGAGATGCTCTGGCCCTTCCCACTATCAGCATTCAGCCCCCAAACCCTACTTTCCAGGGAATGCAGTTCAAGGAAAGGGGGAGATTCCACATCTCTTAACAAATGCCAGGAGCCCTGGTGTGTAATTATAAAAAACATGTTAAGTAATACCAGAAACTACATAGCCTTCAAATAAAAATCAAAAGCTATTTCTAATGATGTAAACAAGTATTGAATTTGATAAAATTGAAATCATTATGATGCAGTGGTTAGTGAGAGGCCAAATAAAAACACTCTTAAAGTAGGAATATGGAACATGTGCTCCACCGGATTTTAGATTAGTTCCCAACATCCCTGAACAATGGTCTGGATGAAGCCAGTGGGAGTTGGAGCCCAACAACAGATGGAGAGCCACAGGTTCCCCACCCTGCCTCAGAACAAGATCATATACAAAATTTAAAAACAAATAGGAAACCAATAAAAATGTTTCCACACACTTAACTGCAAAACAGGTAAATTTACAAAACTTACAGCACATTCTTGAGTGGACTACTTTGTGAAAATAGCTCCCAGGCTACTAGAAAAGCGAGTACAAGGAGAACAGAGAATTAATGTTATTAAAACTAACTTACATCAACGTGCAGCCAAAGGTCATGTCTTTCACAGATGTCAGCTATTTCATCCAGAGGATCAAATGCGCCCAAAACTGTGGTGCCAGCTGTAGCACTGACAAAAAATGGTGCTGAACCCTGTGGAATGATCCAAAACAAAAGAGAGATTGTTTGCACTGTTCAAATTCTCCGTGGAATGTAACATGCGAAATACAATAAGGTCTGGGAATCTAGGACAAGGCTGATGATGTCTACATTTTACATTCTGAGTGGAAAACTACAAAGGACCGGTCTTTCAAAGTACTGTATCTGAAGCATACGGCAAAACCTGCATTATTTAAGTTTCAAAATGTCAAACAGTGACTGTGAGTTATCAATTTTCTTTTGCAATGTTATGGCCGCACTTTCAAGTTCTTCACATACACTGCTGAAAGCAAACTGGTTATCTTTCTTTAAATTCCACATGGAAAGATTTCCATTGCCATACAACTCTAAGACACTTCCCAAGCAATGGAAAATACAATCAAATGAACAGCTGACAACTTGATGCCTTTTAAAAATAATCAAAGGAAGTTCCTTCTTTCAACCCCACAGTAAGGCCAATCTTTCACCACAACATTTAAGACTTGCCCGCAGATTGGTTCCCTTGACAGACGTTAGGAGGGTGGCGATCTTCAAGGTATACTGAATGTTACATTCAATGTGTAGTGACATTTAATGCAATCAAATTTTTAAACCAAAATAGCTACAGTGGAACTCATGGTCTGGACTGGAAGTGACGTTTGTAAAGACAGTATTTCCTGTTGCAATCTGAATGAACAAGTCTCCCATCTCCAAAGTAGCGATTAGTCTTGACAGGAAGGAATGATTATCTTGAGGACCACAGCAAGGGAGGTTTAAGAAGTTACATTATATGCTGTACCCAAGGGGCTTAATTCTTTGGCCATGGTCCAAATAATAATACTTAAAAAAAAACTCCTAGTATCTGCAGATATGCCACACAAGCAAATATAAACAAATACAGGTACCTGAAGCACTCATCACCTCTTTCCTTGTCCCCTTTCCCCAAAAGGGCCCTCAGGTGTCTCTGGTGCTACACAACTTGGATTCGGCAAAAAAAAAAAAAAAGACAACAGGAGCAGGCTCTAGTTCCTCAAATGAATGTCAAAAAAGGACAGAGGCTGTATCTGGTAGGAATGTGACATTCATTGTTTCCATCTCCATTGAGAACAGTTCCTTAGTTAAAATGAACACAGTATGGAAAAGGTACCTGCAGAATTTCCCAGCCACCATGGACAGGCCTTAACACTAATGCAAACATCTTGCAGTCACAGAGTTTTTCCATAATAGGTATTCTTTCAGAATTATTTTTCCTACATAGGAGTCTCATACGGCCCTAATACTAATTCAAATGGCAACAACATGGCTGTTGATGACACAGTTAATTAGCTCTGCTACCCAAATACTATCCTGCCATCTCGGGGGGGGGGGCTACTCACACAAAGGAAGACGTCAGGCAAGAACATCTGAATTTGCCATCAGTTGTGAATTAGAGTGCTTATCAATCAAAAATGAAGATGACTGCATGGCAGCTTCGCACGCTACAGAAGAAAACCTGGTTTTCTGAAATCTGAAAAAAGATGGGGCCACTAGGAGAAGGAAGCAGGACACAATGAAAACACTGATTCTACAAAACATAATGCAAAGTTTCTGCTATTCTCAGATCCATCTGATCAGTGTTGATGGGCTCGGAAACGTGTGGAATGAATGAAGAATTAGTGAATTTCAAGGATCGGGGTATACAATGACATGACATCCAACAACCTTCAGAACTGCAGTGCAGACAATTCCTGCCGCAATCAAATTCAGCCACCAAGAATGGATGGGTGGGGAATTCTAAGACTTGTTGTCCAAACAAGTAAATTTTTTTTCATGCTCTAATCATTACTGCATTCTTGAGAAAACAATGTCCTGATCCTAAGGATTCACAACCTTATAGCCACAAAAAGAATGTGTAGGAAAAAATATCAAAAGGCCCTCTTTCAACTGTAGCTTGCTATCACCCAAAATTCATAAAACTCAGCAAGAGGAGCCATTGACAAAACAAAAGGAGCAGCAATTGCAAAATCAAGATACTGCAGGGCATCAAGTCAATGTCTGTGTGACATGGTATGCTGGATGTGTCTTAAAGCCAACATGTAAGGTTTCTTTTCACACATCCACTAAACCCATTGTAGACTCACAATATGATTTTCCAGTGAAATATAAAATTTAGGAAAGGATGTTGAATTTCTGATATTCATTTTCTAAATACATTATGATGATCTGGCCTAAAGAACTATTTTTCAGTGGATGTTAAAGTTGGTCTCACATATATATTACACACAGCTTTCATAACCAAAAAGGAGCCATTCAGCTTTACATAAATGTTAGTTGTAGGGCTAAAGACATATCTATCTGAAATACTTATGCCTTGCTTTCAAATTCTTCTCACTGCAAAATAACTTAAGAAATTACAGTCATGCCTCGCTTAACGATTGCCTCTGCAATCGATTTCACTGGAACGAATTAATGTCGTTAAGCGAGGCACCACTGTATTTCACTTGTAAAATGATTAAAGCAAAAATACTCCGTAAAGGAATATTTTCCTCCCAATGTAACAGCTGTAAGCTTTCATTACACTGATCTATTGATTGCAGTCACTTCCCAATTATGAACAGAAACACTGAACAAAATCAAAAAATAATATATTTTACAACCAGTGGAAGAACCTCATAAATCCCACCAAATGAACTCTTCTGACTATGAGGAGACTTTAAATAGCTTTTGACCTTAACTCAGAGGAAAGCACTTGAGCAAGTGCTTTCAACAGATTTCTTTTCTCTCTCTTTTTTAAAAGAAGCTAACTAAAATAATTGTTAAAAATATAGAAAATATATTTTAAATGTTTTAATGATATCAATGGTAGGGGTGAGGAAGGATCCCAGCACTTCCAAAGATACACTTGGTGGAGGCATGAGAGTCAGCATGTTTTGTTGGCTGCTCTTAAATTTCAATGCAGGCTAACATCCTCACTGTTACTGTTCCACAAACAGACAAGGACCTTTCAGCCCAGACAAACTGACCTGCTTCTGAGGAAAGAGAAGTTCTCCTGCATGTTTAATGAATGGATGCTACACTTCCTCTTTTCTGCTGCTTTTAATCCAATAGCACTTTAATATTATAATTTGTTTAACTGGGCTTTAATATGAACTGCTGGATAGTTTAGCAGTTTAGGTTTCTGACTGTAGAGCCAAAGGTTGGGAGTTCAATTCCCCACTGTGCCTCCTTGACAGGAGCTTGACACAATGATCCATAGGGTCCTTTCCAGCTCTGCAGTTTTAAGATTAAATTATTATTGTTGTTGTTGCTATTATGGTCACTTCTTGTCTACTGTGTTGTCAGCTACCTAGAGTATTGAGAGAAAAGCTGGATACAATTAAATGAAGAAATACAAAATATTGCTGCCCTTTCTTCTTGTCACATGCCATTTTTAATGGCTGAAATCCTGCTGGGGTCCACCTGCACCACTGCCCTAGTATCAGCTGCAGCAGAATGCCACTGATTAAAGGTTTCTTTTGCAATTTCACCTGCAACTTTGTCACATCATGTGTAAACACTGTGCACCTAGAAATCACACATGAATTGAGAAACAGAATCTCCTATGGATGTTAATCTAAAATAAAATATATACTTGCAGAAATGATTTCTTCTGGGAAAGGGGGCTTCTGTAATGCACTGTCACTGAAAAGCATCCATGGGAAAAAGCACAATGGCCAGATTGTCACAACCACTTTTCACCACTATGAAATATTTCCACTAGCTGTTTTGATTTGGTTTGGTTTTTAACGTACAAGCCCAAATCCTGTTTAAAGCCATAATTCTGCTGGGGCTTCCATATCATGATAAACTCCTTTTCCCATATGGACTTGCTTAACTTTGAAAATTAGATGGGCAGCTGATGAATGATGTGTCACTAGTGGTTCCCAAACTATGAAACTCCCTGTGCAGGAATATGTCAAGAAACTCTGCTTACATAAACAGTGTACAGTACTCCTAAATAAGCGTAGATGTCGCCTTCTGGAGAAAAAGAGAGAGCCCTGACAGAAACTCAATCCTTTGTCTTCTTATCTCAGGATGCAAAAACCTACGACAGGCAAACTCAATTAGCAAAATACTTTGCATTTAACATTTAACTTAAAGAGCTCAACTTCAGCACAAGAGAATGTACGTAACACATAATGACTTGGTAACTCACGAACCCACTGAAAGCATGGCTGCCCTTAAGCAAAGTGCAGCAACAGAAGTTCTGCCTGAGTTACTTTTATACAGACTGCAGCCACTGCCGTCACAAACACCTGCCCGTTGCAACTGCAGCCTCAGTAAATCAACTGCCGTTGTTTGGCTGACCAACATACAGTTTCTATCTACTCAGGCTTTCCTATGTGAGTATGTATGTTCAAGACTTTAATTTATCTCTCAGTAACCTGATCTATACAAACATTTTATCAGAATATTTGTCTGCTTACATTGTTGTCAGCTTTTAGGGCTAAACTACACCCTGTACTAAATGTGCAACATGAAGGTGAGGCTTAGCTTCCCTACCTTTGTCATGTGGACAAGAAAGAGCTGAACAGCCAATCTGGAGCAGGACCACTATGTACTAGTAGGGGAGGTTTAAAACCTTCCTCCCCAACTGCTATCCACACCGGATCCCCACTCCTGTGCAGCCTCTGACTAGTGTTTTAAAAAGGAAATACTCCAGTGATACCAATTAAGCATATTTTTCTTCCATTTTCCAAGGAGGAACAAACTTAATGCAAAAAGCAGAGTAGAAAAGTCATCATATACTGTGGCTTTTTATCCAATGTTCCTCGTGTTCCAGAGTGAGGGTCTGCACACTTACTTGTAAGGAAAAAAAGGAAGAAAAGTTCTCCTGCATATTTTGTGGTCGATATGTCAGTCACATGCCAGGTTGCATGCCCGGTCCTAGAAGAGGTATGTTACCGTTGCCTTACTAATTGGCTGCAATTTATCAGAATTTATATAATTCAATTTACTCCAGAGTATAATCCCTACAGGCAAATGTCGCACACAATGGGCAACAGAAAAAAAAATTATATTGTTTTCACATACCTTTAGCAGTTCTTAGAACATTGGAATCTCTGTCATTATGTTTTATCTGATGGTAAATGTTAATTGTTTTTGGTCGTTGTGGGTTTTTCAGGCTCTTTGGCCGTATTCTGAAGGTTGTTCTTCCTATCATTTCGCCAGTCTCTGTGGCCGGCATCTTCAGAGGAGAGCCACAGAGACTGGCGAAACATTAAGAAGAACAACCTTCAGAACACAGCCAAAGAGCCCGAAAAACCCACAACAACCATTAGATCCCAGCCGTGAAAGCCTTCACAAATTAATTGTTTTTATTATAATTTAATTTTTTTACCATAAACGACCTTGATACTATTATGAGATAGTTAAAATAAATATTATCTGAAAATATGAATACATTTATTCTATTGTTAAAATGACTGAGAAACCTAGCATGTGAAGAATTCTGTGCATCCAATGCAATGAATGCAAACCATCACCATACAAACACTCTCATCCTGAAGAAACTCATGAATCAAGTTGCATTCTAGGGAAATATGAGATGAGGAATGGTGCTAACACCATATGCTGGAACTAAATTGACACGGTTTTCAATTTCAATTTACATTGCAAACCCAAAGCCTCCATTGCTACTAACCCAGAAAAATGCACACTTGTTTTGTACCACACTAGTTTTTCTTCCCTTTCATAAATTTTGCAATGGCACGTAACATTAATTGAGAATAAGGTCCCATAACAATTCAATTTTCAGGACAACTGAATGACAAGTGCGGCTTTATCCATGTCCACTCAGAAACAAACACTGTTCAATTCACTCCCAGGAAGTGTATACAGGATCACAGCACACACAGGAAATACATAAAATATACCATAACAATATTTGCTTTCACAGGGGAGATTCATTTGTACAGTATGTCATCTTTGCGTTTTCTGCATTGTTTAAAGAAGATGTTGCTTATCTCCAGACATCAGCTCTTGCAGCTGTAAACAGACTGTGGACACCAAATTCCCATGTGAAATACATAATCTTCACATATACACATCAAAAATACTGTTAAATGTGTATCCAAATACATACATCAGATTTTATCCCCTTCCTGTAATCTTGACGCACTGCACAGGAAAACAGAAAAAAAAGTGACAACCCTCTGCTCTTCCCTGTATCAAATGTATAGCAATCATGTACAAGATTGCATTGTGGTTTGTAAGGAATATGGATGGAGTTAGATAATTGAATTCATCCAAGACATTTATAGATGCTCAAATTAGATAAAATAACCTTTCAAATGCCCATAATTTTTATTTCAAGAAAACTGAACCATATCAGATACAGTTAAAGATATCCATATTTCAATAAGGATATGGGCTTTTTAAAAAAAGAGTACAGGAGAAGAAGCTACAACCAAGTATTGCTTCACCATGAAACAGTTTCACTTCAAATCAAACTATATTTTATCAAAAAACCCTTTAAATATGAAGAGAATGCTCTTGGCCGTCAGCATTTGTCTCATCCAGAACTGACAGACTGACTTACAGTACATTAATAGATTTGTTTAAATTTTACTCCAGGTTTCTTCCATTTGCTCAAATTGAATGAAATATCTAATAAAACACTATAAGCATTAATGTAAAGCCCGAGTAGTCTACTGGCTTGTTAAATGTCACCATGAGATATTTGTCAATATCTGCAGACATAATCTAACTGAGATACATAAGAAAGTGGTTTAGGACTGCAATGCAAAAGTCATTGTTTATAGCCAATCTATGAGTATTTAAAAATAAAATAAAAAATACTGATGATGAGAGAGATTAATCATGGTCCTTGATGAGTCACATTACCCATTTTTCAGGATGAACTAAAAGAACGTTTGGGAAACCTAATCACCTGAAATGTATAACTTACAGTGCAATTTGTAGAAAACAGGCTACTCCTAAAAAGAACATTTTAATGTATTAACTGCTCTGTTTTAACCTCGATTCTCCCCTTTCCCACATACTTTCATGCAATCCGTCAACACACCTTTCACAGGGCACAGACACATTGTCTTGCTCTCTCACTCAATCTCCCCCCTCTCACCTCTTTCCTGGCCCGCTGGACTTGTTTCTCCAGTTCCTCAGGTATCATCTTACCTCTATGGGACACAGATTTAAAACTTTTCAGTTATCTCCAATTAGGTTACTCACTTACAGCACTACTGCATTTTTAAAAGGATCAAACCAATGCTTTCGGGTATCTTACCTTTCATCACACTTAATGAAGTAAACATTTTGTGTGCCAAGCCCCAAGAACGATGCTGCCTTCTTCACAGAGTAATGACACTATATAAATGCAAGGGATGTGAAACAGGCATTTAATAGCGGAAACATTAAGTAACACATTTCCTGTTGCAAGAAAATGCAAATGCAAAGCAAAACCAGAAGCAGACAAGGCCAGTTATATGCATAGAATAGCAACCATAATTTCCCCAAAAGCTCCACCCATGAGGAAATATTGAGGTTTTTAACATTGTATCAAATTATGTATTTAACAGTCACAAGTGTCATGGTCCCAAATTGTTACTAAAAGTCAGGTTATAGATATAAAGCAACAAAAGGGCATTAAATCAAAATTCTCCTTTTATTGCTTCAATGGAGGTTTTGACAGCTTTTTCGCTTCTATTTCGTACATAAAGTTTCACTCTTACTCTAAAATTTGTATTCCAATGACAATTTTTCATTGTATGACAAAATAATCAATATTGTCTAGGCTTCTAGATGACAAATTATAAAACAACTCCATTGGATTTATCAACTCATCCACTGGGTACAAATTTGGGGTAATTTTCTGAGATAAGACATTCTATACTCATGGACAATTTTCCTAAAAATGGTCACAGGAGGACTTCTGAGTAGAAACCAGTGGTGACTCATATCCGTCAGGAATAATAAGAACAGGCTGGTAAGTGGAAGGTGAAACCAAGGTCAATAATAGGTGCGTGAATTAATCTAGTTGTTGTCCCATTCCTCCTGCCTTGTAAGGACATTACAGTACAATTCCTTAATGTAAACAAATGTATGAGGAATCCTTTGCCTTACAGATGTTTTGAACGACCACTCCCACAATCTCTTGCTACTGATCACAATGACAAAGGATTCTGGGAGTTACTCTCACAGATCAGAGAAATATCAGGCTTATGGAAACAGTAGCCATTTTATTCAGGCATACTCAGTGCTCCAGCTCCACTCTCTGTGTTTTCACTGACCTGAGTGCATGGAAGGTGATGGGTCAGAACAGGAGGATCTCTGCTATCCACGCCCAATCCCCCACATCCCTATTCTATCCCGAAATCTTGCAGACCTAGGAAAGGCTAATTATCATGGAAATGCTGCAAGCTCATTCACTTTATAGCACCTCCACAGACTTTCACACTAAATACATGAAGGTTTGGTGGACTTGCATGTGTGTCCCTGTTCTTCACTCCACTCTACGTGCTTTCAGGCTGAATGCCCGAATAGGACTGTGCATTGTCAGGATGCAGCTCACAACTTGTTGACTGTATCACATGCAGTCCTGAGGCATTAAAAAGGTTACCCAGCTCAGGTACAGAAGAGCAAAGGAGGGCTCAGTTCTGGGAGTAATCCTGAGAATGGAAACATGCAAGGTCTGGATTGACCCCAACAAATAATGGCACATGTGAAATAATTCAATGACTTCTTATATTCAAATAATCTCTGACTTAACAGCAAATCCTGAAAGGCTTTGAAGGATTCTACAGAACTCCAGAACAGACAACATGTGGCAAGAAAGTCTATGAGAACTGACTTATTACTTTAGCAAAATAATAGCTATTTCGCTATGACTTACAAAAAAGAACAGGTAGTCAGTGTCAACTTTTAATGTTATTTAAGGGTTAAATTAATATATTTGCCAACGATCCTCAAAAAAGCCTTAAATTGTTCCTTTGCACACAGCAGGTGAAACCAGGTGGTTAATGAATTCAGTTTTTTTCCAGAGACTTCACACAAACTCGGTTACGAAGGAACATAATTATGAAAAATCTCCCAATTTTTAATTTGTTCGTATACTAAATATGTTCAAACCTGTTTTAATTTTTTAATAAGAAGGATCCCCTCCGAAGGGTGCCCCTTCTTTTTGACAAGTCTTCTTTCCCCAGTTTTAGACAAAACGCAAAGACTCTACCAGGGACCAGCACCCAATCTTTTCCAACATGACACATTCACAAAGCCTTTAAAATTCATTCAGTCAGATTGTTGTGTGAATAATAACATACATAGGCAGATAATTAATCTTCAGTTACACTGCATTACACCAATAATGAAATACGTGTGCAGAGCCACAACATACTATTCACTAGAGGTTTGGACTCTGCCAGCAGAGTTTCATTTGAATTGCAAGTGATTCTTACAAAATAACGACTTAATACACTAAGACTTAGTACACTAAGAATCACCTATTAAGCTCCATTGAAAGAGTGACATTGAATTATTGGGAAAATGTCACACCTCTCAGGGCTCAGCAAAATCTATGAGATGGGGGAAACATTGTACCCCAGAATCTTAGTTGTCTCGGGAAGACCTACAAGTTTTTATACAATTTGATTTTATTTACTTTCACTAACTGTAGCCCAGTTGATCGGATGGAAGGGAAGTGGTATGCAATCCATAAAACACTTATTCCAAATAAAATACACATTGTACCCATGACTTGCTGCTGATTTTTGGTGGAATAGAACAACATGGTTACTCCCTGGAAATAGCTGTAGATAACTAGATCACAAGGAAGGGATTAAAGCAAAGCTTTCTTCCTACATTGTGCCATAACTGTGGCAAGGGGGTGGCTTGACCTGAAATTTTATGGTTAGGTACCCCTTCTCACATTACACAACCTGCTCCAGCTCTGACACAATGAGAGAATGTGGCTAGTGCAAAAATTCAGCTTTCCATCGTTGTCTCACGTGCTTGAAGAAAATGGGAAGCATATAACCCATGACACACACAGGTTATGTTCCTGCAACAAAATTCCATTGCATCTGAATCTACATTCTAATTTACCGACTAAAAGGAAAAAGAGGATCACTCACATGATTTACTAGAAAACAGACAGTTAAAAATGTTTTGCCATGAGAAACACAAATTACCATCTAAATACAATCATTGAAGTGCAGAATGTTCCATTTAAATTACACAAAACACATCCTAAATAAGTATTTCAATTTGTTTCTGAACTGTATTGTTTCTGCTTGACAAACCATTACAGGTCTTGTTGCTTTTAGGGAGATGTCATTTCTCCTTACCAATCCAGTAATGATTATGATGAAAAAACAACAAAACAAATGTTTTACTTCTGCCCTTGCTATTTTTAAACCTGGGACATCAGCACGAAAAAGTTCCACCTTAAGTTATAACAGCATCGCTCTTCTGCATAGTGAGTAAAAGGGGAAAAACAAATGAATATCTTCTTGACTTAACTCTTCCACTATGAGAAATCTACCTTCCAGTGAAATGAATGCATCAAGCAAGAGAGGGAATGGTGAAGGAAAATAACCCACAAAGTGAAAAGAAAGCTTGTTGAAAGTTCATTCAGTGCTGGACAAGCTGGTAACCAACCAACATGAGAAAGGAGGAAGGAAAATGGTGGTGCAGAGCTTTGATAAAACTGAGCACCCTCCCCCAAGGTTTTTCTCCTGCACCACCGCTTGGCTATGCTCCTCTGGTTGGCTATGCCAAAGGAGGCAGAAAATCTTTGACAAGGGCCTTCTTGGCATCTCTCTGGAATCACCTCCTGGTGGATCTATGCCTTGCTCCCTCCCTCCCTAACTCCAAAGGGCTGCTGAAGACACTTCTCTTCTGAGAGGCCTTCAAAGGCAGCTTCTTTTGAATTTACTCAGCTCTCCTCTGCTGCTTTGTTACGCTGCACCACCAGGGCTTTGTGCCGGCTTATTTTAGTCTGTTCTTGTTTGGCTATACATTTTATGTGATTGTGGTTTTTGTTGTTTTATATGTACACCAACCAAAATAGCACTGTGCCCTAGTGGGGCAGTATACAGATGCAATGAATGAACGAATTGCAAAGCAATTGATGAAACGACAGCCCAAAGAGGACAAGGGCAGTTGGTAGAAGGCTATCCAACAAAATTTAACTTTCAAACTAAACGCTAAATGAGGTCAGCCTAATTTTATAGACTCGGGGATCATGATTACCAGCCAGATTTTGGGATCTAGTATGAGTCCCTAAAGATACATCTGACAGTGGCTATAGCAATGTTTTTTTATGAGATGATTTGTCTTCCCTCTTGAAAATGCTTTATCACAATGATTACAAGGTAAAAAATTAATTAATTACCTCTTCTGATGTAAAGAGAACCAGTCGAGGCATCCCTGAAAGCCCTTTTTCCTTTATATCGGGACAGTATTTGTACCTTGCCAAGTTCATTGCATACATATTAGAAACAGATCCACCTAGAAGAAGAGAAAAATGCAATACAAATCCTAACTAATAATTTAGGTTTCCAACCTGCAAGCGTAGAAGTGAATGTTCTGGCCTAGACATGAAATAGTGTCACACTAGCAAAAGTGTTACCTGGAAGAAAACATTCATTTCAAGCCACTCTTTCTTGATACTTGCTTTCCAGAAGCTAATAAAAAGAGAGACACTTCCCATTTTTAAATGGCTTTAAAAATTCATTGTAGAGAAACAATTTTTGGATTTCGGTTAACTTGTGGCTCCAATGGCACCCTTAAAGAAAGTTTTCTAAATATATAGGCAATTATTTGCGGGATCAAACATATGCAGACAGCAATAGGGATCTTAGAGAGTAGAGAAATGAAAATTCACACCATTGAAGAAACCAGCATAAACTGGGTAACCTTCTACCTCATTATAAGCAACATGTTGCCCTAGGGAGGGAGGAAGTATCTAGAGCAGCTATCCAGACATCCTCAAAGGAGCACTGCTGTGCGAATTCAACCAAGGAGTACTGGAATGTAACAAACCTAAAACAGAATCATCACTAAAAAGCAAGATCTTCCTACCTGGATTAAATATGCCATCGCCTTCTTCCCATCCAATAAATTCAATCATTTTCTTTAGGACTACTTCTTCTACTAACAAAAACACCGGGGACACCTCATAGGTGTATCTGAATAAATAGAAAGGTGGCATAAACAATTTCAGCAGTTGTTTCATCAAACTGAATGTAAAATGGAGTGGGGTAGAGATCACGGATATGGGTGTAACACAAGTAAATGAAAAATGTCCCCAAATTTCACAAAATATAATGCTGTAGAAACACTGACTAAATGTTACTAGTTCTTAACATTTTTAAAAAAGTACTAAAGTTACAAGCTGTCGTTATGTCACAAAAATAACATCACTGCTCCCTCATTACTTCCAAAAGTTTGTTATAGCAAACATTATATGGTGACTCTTACTACCATATTGCGTTATGGTTTATGAGAGGTTCCACATTACATCCCTCATGGGAACTCATGATGGACTGTGTTTCTTCCTTTTTTTGCAATCTTTTCATTACGACTATCATTATTCATTGATGCTGCAATCCTGTGATCTTCTGAAAGTCTGAAGTCTCTACAGGTCCCTCTTCCCCAAATGGACAATTTAGAGTGGACATTCTGGAGTGAAAATTGTTGCTTTAGTATCTCACACCCACACCCACCACCCATAAGATTAGTTTATCATGGAATGTATCTGATATTCGCCTTGTGATTCTGACCCATTCACCTCACAAAATATTATTATTTAGCAGCTCAGTTCTACACCTATCCCACACCCTTATGGTTTTAAACAAGTATTCATTGCTGCTGTAGAAATACTAATGGTGTAAGAGCCAGGGTGTCCAAATATGCTCTTGAATAAAAATCTTCGATAAAAGGATTTCAGTTCCTCTAAGACCTCTGAGGAAACAATTTCAGAGGTTCGCCTTCTACCATGGTATTGTTGAATTGATAAGAAAAACTTGTACCCTGAATATTCCCAAAGGGACAAAACTCCTATTCTACTTGAAATTTGAAAACCCTACCTAAAAAAGCAAAATAAAGACAGACCAATTAACTATGGAAAAAATACTCTCAAATAATCATGTGAACACATAATCAAACATAATACATTTACAGTAGACCCCTGTATCTGCAGGGGATCAGTTTCAAGGCCCACACCCCACAGATGCTGAAAAAGGAGGATTATAGTGAACACTATTATTATAATAGTAAATAATATACATAGCATGGTCTCTGGCTCCCTCTCGTGGCCAGTTCTGGTAACTTCGTCATTAAAAATTTATATTTTGTGGTTTTTTCTTTTAATATTTTTTGTATTTTCAGACTGTGGATAAGAGAATCAGCAGGTACTGATTCCATAGATAAAGAGGTCCTACTGTATATTTACATATTGAATGTCGTTATAGTTGCATAATCAGTTCATTTAGTCATACTAAGACAGTAGATCTCAATATAAAAATCATGGTTAACTTTCTTTATATTGCATTGATTCACATGAATGAATGCAAAGTTAAGACAATATTTTGCCTCCAGTATGTTGATTAGAGTATGAAAGCATATTTTCCTTCTACACCTAGCAGGCATGACTATCCCACCACATACTGATATAATGATTGAACAAGGCAAATGGCTGAAAAACATTGTTGAATGCATAGGTTCAGACCATGCTTGATGAATACCTGGAAAGGGTATATGCACAAGGGAGAAAGAATAACCTGAATCAGCTAAATTTTGCCATATTAAGGAAGGGAGGAAAGAATAAAAATAAGAACTAATAAATTGAACAGAATAGAATGCCACATCTAATCAGATTTAAGTTAATGGCATTTCCTTTTCATTTGTACTTTGGTGTCTGCATGGAACTTACAATAGGTGAAGGTCAGCTTAATTCATCTCATATCTAAAGAATACATCCCTCTGTATTCTTTAACATACACAAACATCTACAGGAAATAGAATCTGTAACACTGCATTTCCAACTTATCAGCATGATTTCAAATAAAATACACTTACACACTTGGGTTTAATGCTTCTGTAATGAAACGTGCCCCTAAAGAGTAATAATCAATCCCAGCATACAACTGATTAAAAAATCTTGGATGATCTGTAAATAATAAAACATATATTCAGTAAACATGAGAGATGCATGAAAAGCAATGCACAAATAGAAAAGCTGTTCACCGATTTCTGATCTCCACTAAGAGTGTTAATACTGACTACTAAAAATTGGGGGTGGGGGAGGTCAAGCCCCATGATTACCATCAGGCAAAGATCTCTCTCTTGTATGTGTGCCTTCTGGAGCCTACTACTCTACCTTCTACATGATGTAAGACTTTCTTTACTAAGAAATAAATAAAAAGGACTGCTATGAAACAGCATAGGGGAATGGGGCTCATTGCTGTCTTGCTTACAGCACATCAATTCACCCTGTTTTCGTCTTTTATTTGAAGAGGGTCATGCCTTATTTTTAGTAACCTGCCCCAAGTGATCATTGTTTCTTGAGTTGTAACACTAAAAAAAAGGGATACAGATTCATAATGGCATTTCCAAAAAAAAAAAGGCACATGGGTTCGGTACAGATGCAGTAGACTCAATGAAAACAATGGCCAAACTTCTGTTGATTAGTGTAGTAAATTGTACTACAGTAGGCCCATGGAATCAATGGGGGATTTGGTGAGTCACCTCCTCTGTAAGTTCTGTTCATGCAAATGTGTCCACTGTAATTGTGACTTTCTATGCTAAAGTAAGCTGAAGTTCAAATAGGCTCATTTGAATCAGTAGAATGTATGGGGGTCTTGTTTATTTCAATAGGCATATCCTAAGTATGATACTGTGCTATAGTGGACAGAGTGATGGATTGGATTCTATTGCCCATCTCTGCCACGGAAACTCACTGGGGTGATGAAACTGGTAAAACCTCACATATCCATTTCCTACAAACAAGCTTGCCCCATAAGACTAACTGCTATTCAATGCACAAGAATTTTTATGTCTGCATTTAACACTAGTTTTTCAAAAACACGAGCTACAGTTTTACACTATCAAAAAGCTATGTATTTCCTTAGTTACTAGTCTTCAAAGCTTCATTTTCCCACACTCCCTTTATATGTCTATTCCATATTGTGAGACAATTAGGGTCATGATATATGGCCAGATGCACATGGCTTTGGGGAAGAATACTTAAGTGACTTCAAAACACTTTGATTTCTTATTTCATTGATATGGTATAAAATACATGTAGTGTTTATTGCCTTGTTCTTTTGAAAAAAAAACAGAATCTTTGGGAATTTATATAGGGAAATTTATATATTACCTTTCATTTAATAGAGTTCCAAAAATTCTAAAAATATATTTTCTATATATTCTCATTTTCTACAACCCCCTTTAGAGACATACAAGAAAGACAGATGAAGGAAGAATAATTAAACTGCTGGATATCTCAGTGGTTTGGGTATCTGAGGTTGAGAGTTCAATTCCCTACTGTGCCTTCTTGACAGGGATTGCCTCAATGATCCTTCTGGTTCTGCAGTTCTATTATTAGTAGTATTATTCAAAAATACCAGACACAGTCAATCAAAATTATAAAAGCATTGACTGGTGTGGTATAACCGATCCAAGTTTTAACCAAAAACCTAAGTATCTGTTAAATATCAACACAGTATGCATGCTGTTCCTAATACTGCTGTTTTTTGTGGTTCTGATGGTGTGATTTCTGAGATCTGCAACTGCTTATAGTACTGTGTGAAATTTCTTGATATTGTTCCCAAAGCCTCAATGACTACGGGGACCACTGAAGTATGTTACATCCACAAGCAAAATGTTTCGCTTGCCAGACACCTGTATTTTATTAGTTTTTCCAATTCTTTGTTTTCAACTCTGGCATCCCCTCAAATTGCAATGTCAATCATCCAGACATTTCTTCATTTTATTACTATTATATCTGGTGTGTTATGTTCAAGGCATCTGTCAGTCTGGATCTGAAAATCCCACAAGATCTTGAATTTGTTATTTTCTGATACCCTTTCTATCTGATGTTCCCATGGGTTTCTGAGGGCCAGCAAGTTACATTTTTTGGCATAATGACCAGTGCACTAACTTTGCCAATCTATCATGTCTAATTTTTTTAATCTGTTTGTGCAATCTTCAGACATTCACAAATAAGGTGTGACACAGTTTCATCATTTTCTTGGCAGAGTTGACATTTACTGTTAGCACTAATTCCTTGAATCTTAGCTTTCATCACATTGGTTTGGAGTGCTTATTCTTGCGCAGCAAAAATCAAAGCCTTCAGTTTCTTTCTTAAGGGTCCCCAGTTTTAGCTGTACCCAAGATGAATTATTATCATGTTTTCCATCAATATTTCTCAGATGTTGTTTATGTAGTAGTTTGTTTTTCCAACTGTTTAATTTATTTTCAAATTGTTGTTCCTCATACTGAACCTTTGTTTCTGTTTTCAAAATATTCTCCATTTTCACCACCATAAGTAATTTTTCTCTATTTGTACAAATATAATCATTTAGGCTTCTGTTTTCCCCCACTACTACCTGCTGTATTTGCAGTAATCCATGGCCTCCAATTTTTTGTGGTAAATATAATCTCTCCACATCATTTTTTGGATGTAGTGCGTGATGCATGTTCTTTAGCTTCTGTATTTTTAAAATCTAACTCTTCTCATTCATTTTGGGTCCAATCTGTTATTCCAGCTGTGTTTATAACTGTATTTCCACCATTTTGATTTTTATTATTCAGAAATACCACACACAGTCAATCAAAATTATAAAAACATTGACTGATATTATATAACAGATTGTATTGTTGTTGTTATTGTTGTTGTTGTTGTTGCTGCTGCTGCTGCTGCTGCTGTTGTTGCTATTGTTATCTTCCATAGGAATGGCTTCAGTGCTTACACAATAGATAAAGCAGCAATAATGAAGAATATATTTTAAAAATATAGACATTCTTTAATTTTTTAAAAAGTTGAGTCAGATCCACAACTAACACTTGATATATTTTAAGATATTCTATGAGATGTAATTCCACTGGAACTATTTAAAATCTCAAAAGAAGACACTGTTAAGGTGCTACATTCAATATGGAAGCCATTTTGGAAAACTCAGCAGTGAACAGAGGATTGGAAAACCACAACTAAGATATATTTTAAGATATTCTATGAGATGTAATTCCACTGGAACTATTTAAAATCTCAAAAGAAGACACTGTTAAGGTGCTACATTCAATATGGAAGCCATTTTGGAAAACAAAACTGTGAACAGAGGATTGGAAAAGATCAGTCTACATCCCAATCCCAAAGAAGGGCAGCACCAAAGAATGCTCCAACTATCATATGATTGCACTCATTTCACACGCTAGCAAGGTTATGCTCAAAATCCTACAAGGTAGGTTTCAGTAATATGTGGACCAAGAACTCCCACAAGTACTGGCTGGATTTCGAAGGGGCAGAGGAACTAGAGACCAAATTGCTAACATGCGCTGGATTATAGAGAAAGCCAGAGAGTTCCAGAAAAGAATCCTACTTCTGCTTCATTGACTACGCAAAAGCCTTTGACTGTGTGGACCACAGCAAACTATGGCAAGTCCTTAAAGAAATGGAAATGCCTTATCTATCTATCTATCTCCTGAGAAATCTATATGTGGGACAGGAAGCAAGAGTTAGAACTGGATATGGAACAACTGATTGTTTCAAAATTGGGAAAGGTAGGTAGGTAGGTATACTTTATTACGGTCAAAGACCAGTAAAACCAGAACAGTATAAAATAGATACATACAATTATTGTTTAGGAAAGTCGAGCAGGGTAATAAAATTCCATTAAAACATGATAAAACAAACCCTTATTTCCAATTAATAACATAATATATCCTTGATATAGATAAAACCACAGATAGTGTTGTATTAAAAATATTATATTGTCGATCTAAAATCACCTACCCAAACATCTGTTTACGAATAACCATTGCTGCAGCACAGAATTTGGCCACTTGTCTAGTAATATAAGGGGTACTGTCAGAGAGTAGCCACTGCACATAATCCTCCTCTGATCTCCCAGGAGATTTACAGATAATAGATGATAAAAGCTCCATGCGAAGATCCCGATAACAGGTACAAAAAAGAAGAACATGACCAACTGTTTCAACTTTATCACTATTACAGGGGCAGAGACAATCTGATGCAGGCAAACCTCGAAATCTTCCCTCCAGAAGCTTAGAAGGTAGTACGTTAAGCCTAGCTAGCGTAAAAGCCCTTATGGCTTTAGATGACATAGTGCTGGCTAAGTACGAGGAGGTGATAAAGGCAGATTTCTTAAGGAAGTTATATTTCCCTAACTGGCCAACATGGTCCTGTAATTCAATGTCCCATACCCTTAACTTCACCGCTTTAATGGCATCTGTAAGACCCATTGCTATAAGTATACTGGGGGAAAAGCCAATTTTCAATATCTCTTCTGTTATGTGCTTCTTCCACTCCGACTGAAAAGAATCTAGTAGGATCAGTGGGGCCAAGCCTTCTAATGAAAAAATCAGTTTAATCCAGTATATCAGCATAAGGACTTTAGCCTGTGCTTTAATGGATTTTAACCCGACCTCTAAGCGGAGAGCCACATTGGAAGTACAAGGTGGGACTCCAAGGATGGCTCTCACAAACTTGGTCTGAACAATCTCCAGAGGTCGTAAATTAGCATAGGCGAACAGTTGAGAACCATAAAGCATTTGTGATATAGTCCTGGCCTTGAAAACTTGTAATACCGAAGGTACATGTTTACCCCCAACAGTATGAAAAAATCTTGTTATTGCCACAGTATTTTTCTGGGCATTCATTGCAGCGTGGTTTACATGAGTAACCCAGGATCCTGAAGAGTGAAAAACTATGCCAAGGTATTTATAGCATGCTACTTGCTCTACAGGGTGACCATTTAGAGACCATTTGTGTTTTATTCTCCTTCTACTCACCACCATAATCTTGGTTTTAGCATAGTTAATTATTAGTTGTTCTTCATTACAGTAGGTGGAGAAGGATCTCAGAAGTCTTCTAAATCCCACGCACGTAGTTGACAATAGAACGGCATCATCAGCATAAAGTAGAGTTGA